GTAGGGAGGTAGTGAGCAAGCAAATCACTTGAAGAGTGCGCGAAGCGCGCTCCCTTGGGGTGGGTGAAGAGCCTTCCGCGCAAAGCGCGGAAGCTTAGACGTTTCATTAAATTATTAGGGAAAGAAGACGATTCGTTCGACCGTTCTCGACTCTTAATCCTTGTCTGAATTAAGTTTTTCCCCTCCTGCGCGAAGCGCGGAAGGTTTGATGTTTCATGAAATCATTACAGAAAAAAGACGATTCGTTGTACCGTTCTCGACTCTTAATCCTTGTCTGAATTCAGTTTCCCCCCCCCCCCCCCTCCCGCGCGAAGCGCGGAAGCTTTGGCGTTTCATTAAAATATTAGAGAAAGAAGACAATACGTTGTACCGTTCTTGACTCTTAAACCTTGTTTGAATTAAGTCTCCCCGAAAATGTTAAACATCTGATTTCTTTAGCTGATATTCTAGGAAAGTAAAACCCACCGACATTATACATCTCATCGACTTCAAACTTCTGCATTGATATAGTACACGAGGATCGAGCAAGAATACCGACACAGCTGATCCGAAACAGCAACATATTTATGCGCGTCTTTCTTGCTCGCTCGACGAGACGACTCTACCCAACAACCCCCTTTCTCATTTACTCCCACCCCTCCTCTCTCAGTCTCTTACCTCCCGCTCTCTCTCCTCTCTTGCATCCCCGTTTCTTTTGTTTCCTTATTCTCGTTTTTCTTCTTTTTCTCCTTTTCTTTCTTTTTCTTTCTTTCCTCTCCTCTTTTGTTTCCTTATTCTCGTTTTTCTTCTTTTTCTCCTTTTCTTTCTTTTTCTTTCTTTCCTCTCCTCCCTTTCCTTCCTTTTCCTTTTCTTTTTTTCTTCTTCTTTTCTTTCCCTTTCCCTCTCTTTTCTCTTTTTTCCCGACGGCAGCGAAATTTTCACCGACAATATCCTGACAGGTGGGGTCCCGCACCCCCCCCCCCCCCTTTAGAGACGCCCCTGTGCATAACCCATGATCTCTGCAGTGGTGGATGCATTGGGGAAATGGAGTCATTGTACATTATTCAATGCTTGTTCATGAAAGGAGAGAGGTAGAGTGAGAGAGAGCGAGAGAGAGAGAGAGAGAGAGAGAAAGAAGGGGGAGACACAGGCTAATGTAGCAACAAATGTACAATATTACAGATAACAGAGCTTAATTTGTTTCTTTTCATGAAAGTACAATTTTTTTTTAATGTTAAAGTTGCTTGATACTCAAATACATGGCAACGTCTACGATAAGGACAATACAAGACATGTACACAAAAGCAGATCAGTGACATTGGAAAGTGTTTTCCCCGTTTACAATCATTTTACAACCTTAGTTCTACCAAGGAATGGCACAACGTTCGGTTTTCAACAGTGACAAACATATTTCAAGCATATGAAAAGAATGAATGAAATGCAATCAAGATTCATAGCTCTAGCAATCTGGAAGAAACCATTTAAATCATATACAATTTATGGTAAAACAAGAATTTCAAGAATATGAACTTGTACGGAAACTTCAAAAATTCACATTGGTAATTCAAACGTTTCAAGAAATGAAACTCTCATGCATTTGAACCACTCATGGAATTTGTGAAAGTTTTTGGTTTTACCATACTTTCTGTGTGCAAGGTTGTAAAATGAAAATTACATTCACCTTATCTGTCTGTCTGTGTATCTGCTCTTATAATTGTGGCTAAAGGCTAGGATTATTTTAACACAAGTACGGGCCTCCTGAAAAAGAAAAAAAATGTTTTCTAAACAACACTTTCCCGACTTCTGAAAACAATTGGCTATAAATCAATAAACGTACTGATACTACTATTACTAGCTTAAATCAAACAAGTTGATTTTTTTTTTACTCCGAATTGGTCTTTGACTTAGTTGCAATTTCGTGCATGCTCGGGTAAATTATTCAATGAATTTGTCCTAAATATCTTTCTAGTACATATCTGAAATAATGGGCAAATATTGCAATTTTAGGTACATTATGCTTCTCTCATTACTATTGTTTAAAGACCAGTTTTGGGAACGCCCCCTCTCAAAAAATGAAATGAAAGCTCTTATTACCAATAATGTGAAAGAATATGTTATGACTAATACGTAATACAAATTTTGCCGGGAAACCGCCTATTAATTGATATATTTTGTAAATTATTATATCTATTCGGACTGGATAGATATCACGTAGTCCCATAAACATCTTTCTGTGTACAGTGTTTGTAACTTTACCAAGACTGGGCCAAATTTCTTTTCATTTTGATGATTCCAGAACATTGCAGTACACACCAATACTGATATGCTAGATGATCAACCTTTTCTGATCGATTCCACGTTTCTTTCACAATGCAATCGCATGACCAGAACTGGTCTATACCTTAAACTACTTTACTGAGCCTTACTTGCAAAGGATGTCAGAGAAAAGTTTTAAAAGCAATCTGAGAACCAAAGACTTTGGACCCTATCTTCAATAGCTATGGCAAAATATGAATCTACTTTCAAGGATTGTTCATGATGACCCTGGAGCATTCTGACATAGCACCAAAAGCAATATTCATTCATTATAAGCCACTTAAGGGAAACTTCATTTTGTTAAACATTTTTTTTGCCTGAAGAGAATTCTTTTATAGATAAAAGAACTTTTCTATTTTCTTTCTTTTTTTGGGGGGGGGGGGGGAGGGGGGAGGAGTCAATCTATGAAGCGGGGACAAATGCCACTATATTTTTAGAACATATTGTCTTTTTGGAGCCAGAAGGGCCTTCACACAGAGTTGATGCCATTCTGGCTTTGAAAAGATAATAACAAACAATTTGAAAGAATCAATACACATACAATATGTTACTTAATACATTGAAGAAAAAAAACACAAACTAGAATAAAAGGAAATTTTCTTTTACAAGCTTCCTCTCTCTAAGTCATGAATAGCAAACATTAAGAGTCATGTTCCTATATACTATGTTGTTAATTCAAAGGCAGACGAACTTGCACACTCCATCATAGTCTTGAGAAAGTTAATGCCCTCCCGAGCATCAAATAATATGCACCATTCACACATCCACCCAGTATAGTTGTACTGATCCCATTGACATGTACATTGAAGAAACACAACTTTCAAGACTTTCAAGAGTCTTTGCTATACCAATGGAATATCACTCTTCATTCTCGTCATGTTGAGCATCAGAGTATCACTGAATCCAATGTAATACCAGCTTTTTAACCTTTGGTTAGCATATTAAATGACCTTCAAACTATTGGTCATAATTGGAGCAGGTTTTCATGATCAACTTACTAACCTCAACTGAATGATACTATTGTGTCATATTTCCTTTAACCCCTCAAGTGGCACATAAAGTTTTACTGCCGAAATTCAAAATTCTGCATCTTAAATCTTAGACAGAGAAAAAAAAATGCTTGTTTTCTTAAATGAGCTATTGTACAGTTTTTTGTTTTTTAATTTTTTTTTCATCAGAGGATTATCATATGGTTAGGTCTAAGATTAGGGTCTGGGTCAGGTGTAATGTTTGGTCCATGGTTAAAGTTAGATATTCCATTGGAGGAAGAAATCAACCAAGAAGCAATTATCACAAGACATTTGGGTCATACAAAATTACCATGGCAGACTGATTTTATTAAAATATATGAGACACAATTGACAATAAAATTCAAAGGCTTATCTTGTGCAAGTTTAAAGGTAAAGACCAGTTATGGTCATGCGATTGCATTGTGAAAGAAACGTTGTGGAATCGATCAGATCGATCAGAAAAGGTTAATCATCTAGCATCTGCAAGGTTCTGGAATCATCAAAATGATAAGAAATTTGGCCCATTCTTCGTAAAGTTACAAGCACTATACACAGAAAGATGTATATGGGACTACCCTATATCTCTCACAGACCATGAGAGAAACAAATTTACCAAATATATGAATTAGTAGGCGGTTTCCCGGCAAATTTGTTATCATCATGTATTAGTCAAAACATATTCTTTCACATGATTGGTAATGAGAGCTTCCATTTCATTTTTTTAAATTGGGGCGTTTCCAATACTGGTCTTTACCTTTAAGTGCATCACATGTACATGTCACCTTGATGTTAATGTAAGATTTAAGGTTCCAATGGCACTACCTTAACATTGCAATCATGGTCTCAACAAACAAACTTGGTTTTGTCATCTTCAAAGACGAATTACATTTCTTCACCACACTCTCTTAAGTGTCACTACACAGAAAAAGGACTTGTTTTGAAATCGACCACTTGCCAAACTTAAAGTAACAGTGTATTGAAAAGTTGAAGGTTGTGAGTGTTTAAACAACTCCGTAATCTATACTACATTGATGGTAACAGGCAATTATTAAATTACAAAAAGGAAATAATAATGAAACAATTAATCTAGCTCAGTGCTCATACTAACAAGTGAATCTCCATATCTATGGAGAAGTCAATCATCAATCAAAATCTCTGTTTCATTTAATCAAATTACGATGAATGCCATTCAAAATCTCAGTTCAATGCTCTACACATTTTTTTAAGAAGCTGTTCGAGGGGTCAGTGACACAAAGACGTAACTCCATTTTGGCCATTTTGAGAAAAAATGGTTTATGTGTCACTGACCAATTGGGCCCGGAGTTAAGTCTATGTTTCACTAGCTATTAACTTCAATGGGATGTTGGGTGGAGTTAGGCTTTGTGTTTCCTGGAAAGCCCACATGTTTGGGAACATTTTGATATCAAATACTCATTTTGGCAAATATGGAGTTATGTCTTTGTGTCACTGAACCCTCATGTAAGCAACTTGGCATATAAATATATATTAACTTCCTTCCAAGTCTGAAATAATCTTTCTTTTCTAACAATACTTGTTGAGAACATGCATCCAGATTACATTCTCCAAATCCAATGCTATATCATTCATTGGCTTGGTAGACCCATGGTAGAGCAATGCATCAGGGTCGGTTACACAAAGCTTGCAACAGTCACATGAAGCTGTTCCTTGTAAGAGTTTATTCCTGTTCCACGACTAGCTCTGCCGAGAGAGCATTGACAAGTGACTACGAGTAGAGTATATCATAGTGGCCTGGTCTGTAGAGGAGGGTGGTTTGAGGTATGCAGCCTTCGTAGAAGTCATGGCAGTTGACCTTTCCCCCTTCACCTCGGTCAAGATAAGCTACCCTGATGCCCACTTCCAGTGCATTGGTCAGTGCGATGATGTGGATGTGGTCACTTTCTTTGGACATGGGTTCCACTTCCTGTACAAAACGATAATGACAAGAAAATATGGGTATTGTACACCATAGTTATTGTGATTTTTCACTGAAAGTCTACAGCATACAGGACAAAATAAAGGCATATTGTTTTGTATCAAGCCAGTTGGTTTTCATATTTCCCTCTTGAAAGTCTATTCACAAGGCCATGTCTTCCTGGTACAATTCACTGTAAATGAACACAGTGGCTACTTGCACATTACAAAACCACAAAGGGGAATACATGTTTACCTTATTGCCAAAACAGTATTCTGTCCAAGGTCAGGATATATACAGTTCAGTGAATGCTTTAGTAACCACATCAAAACATCTGTACCCACACAAATACCTCTTTAACTACCCCCACCCCCTCATACGGCTATTTCTCTGATTCAATTCCTAGTGAAATTACCACTCAGAAAACTAGCCCTCTGCACAATCTACTAACCATTCCCTGTCTCCATAGACATCAACTAAAATCCCTCCCCCCCCCCCCCCCCCCCCCCCCCCCTCCTTATCAAATATCTTTCTGACAGATCAATTAGGAAAACTACACCACAAGGACAATTACCATCAAAACAACTATTTAGAAAATTAAAGATAAAGTTGAGTTCTGGTCATGCGATTGCATTGTGAAAGAAAAGGTGTGGAATGGATCAGAAAAAGTTGACCATGTAGCATGTAAGTATTGGTGTGTACTGCAAGGTTCTGGAGTCATCAAAATCATAATACATTTAGCCCAGTCTTGGTAAAGTGACAAACACTGTACACAGAAAGATGTATATGGGACTACACAAATGGTGTCGGGCCTACGTACCTTGATTCCTTATCTTTCTATGCTCATTACTCAGCCAGTATACATTTTCTACCAAAATTGTTTGGCAAATGACATTCATTTGTAATCTTGAACATTCAGTGTAAGTTTTGTTTGATTCTGTGAGAATTCATTTTCTCTTTTTACCAGAATTCAAGTTTATCTTTAAGATGGATGATTACTCCTCTTTGATGGTGGCAATCATGCTTGATGAGTGAGCATCATGTTAAACTTTTAGAAGGACTGCTTACCTGGCTACAGAACTCTTTGACCGTCCTCCCCCCTTCAATGAAGTCCTGATAGAAATCTGCTCTCTTCTGCAGCTCTCCGGAGGTTAGAAGTCTGAAGTAGACCACAAGGTAGTCTGATATACCCTGATCACAATACGTCTCAACTAGATTCTCTAGACTTGGTTTGTCCTGGATTGACCGCACTGCTTCCATAAACTGTTATATAACACAAGTAACATTACTTTCCTGAATGTGTTTTTTAATATGTAGAACAATCGCAATTATCCAAGTGTGAACTTGTGAAGTATTGATAAAGCTGCACAAGTACACTATTGTTTCATCCTGTTATCATGATGTGTATCTCTGACATATTTAAGCAGCTTCAATATATATTCACATAACTTCCAAAATTCAGAGCTATATACTGTTATTCATGTATAGTATCCTAATGTGATCTTCAGAGCCACTACATGCTGATTATGTTACAGTACAGAAAAAAATAAAAAAACGTTGCATCATAAAATGTAAATTATAATTTGATTTGATTAATTTGGTGAATATGATTGTTAAAAGAGGATGATTAATGTAACTAAATATTGATAAATAAATGTTCTTGATTTAATAAATTCAATTATGGTTATCAAACTAACACTGTATCACTCACTGTGTCATGAAAGTCCTCTAATGTGAAGGCAGGAAAGCCTAATAAAATCAGCTCCTCTTTGCTTTTCTTTGCAATGCCAATAAACCTGTCCAAGATATGGGGGTAAAAAAAATCAATAAATCTGGAATTAATGATACTTATTATATGCTACTATAAGGCGTTCAAAAATAATATTATATTGCCCTTTCTTTTTTTAAAACCATTTTTTAGAAAATGAATAAAAAAAATATGTATTTTGTTTGTTTAAACGAGACATAAATGCATAAAATCTTTTAATTATTCCCAAACTCTCACTCGTCACTCTTCTCATTCTGCCCTAGTTTTAAAATCCTGCTAGCGTAAACAATTACAGGTAGACCCCGGCCTTGTGTATTTGTATATACAATGCAGTGCACCAGCTAAAAACCAGTGAGATTTGGGCTATGTTCCCGGTTTTGATTTTTGGGGCATCGGTCGCTGTTTTGACGGGAAAAAAGAAAATAATATTCAACCAACTGACCCAGGTTCTGGCACTTAAAGCGCAAAACGACTAGGCCTATTGGTACTAAATTCCTAAACATATTAGCAGCTTCCAGTATAAAACTATCATGGTTGCATAGTTTTTATTTGCCACTTTCAACAAACCATTACAAGAGAGGGAGAGATAAAGAGAGGGAGGGCGAAGGAGAAAGAGAAAGAGAAAGAGAGACAGAGAGAGACAGAGAGAGAGAGAGAGAGAGGGAGAAAGAGAGAGTGAGACCTAAACCAAAAGTTGTTTGGTGTATATCTTCCCAATAGCTAACATATTTTAAAGGGTACTGTTTGGATAAAGGTAGTATGGACTGAAAAACCATGTTAGGCTTACACACCTGCTTGAGGGGAATAATTTGACCCCTTCCCACCTCATGGTAAATAACATGTAATTTCAACAGGAATAAAATGGTTTATTTAAAAAATAAAAAAAAATTCTCAAGAATGACATTTACAATTTTCAAAAAATGCAAATATTATTTATGTTTTGCAGTACCCGAAACTTTCTTGATACAGATATCACTGGTTCTTGTCTACAAAATACAGATATATCTTACTATGATGCAACAAAGTCATGAACTATCTCACCTGTGTAGCTCCACTTTGTCTGTTAGGAGAGTTTCAAAGTAGGCAAATCCAAAAGCACGAAAGAAACAGTTTCCATCTCCTCTAGTTTTCCTGATAAATCTGTGTGTTGTCAAAAGGTCCTGATGATCATGAAAAGAAACACATTCCATAAAATCATAATGAGTTGAGATTGAGAAATTTCTTTGCATTTGCACAAGATAGAAGAAGAGATAGAAGAAGATGAAGAAGATGAAGAGAAGAAGAAGAAGAAGAAGGAAAAGGAGGAGGAAAAAAAGTAGATAATGATGACGGGCAAAGATAAGAAGAATCAATAGCACATGAATACTTACATCTATTTTCTGACAGTAAACAGGATCACTTTTGAATTCATCTGCAAGAACAGAAAGTGGCATTTTCTCACTAACAAGTTGGGTGGACTCTTTTATCTATGATGAAGAGGAGAAATCACAAATACACAAAAAAAAATCACCTTAGAGTCAATAATGGTTTCAATTTTACTGCAAAAATAAAAAATAAAATTATCACACTTCAAGAATACTAAGAAGTAAAGGCTTTACTGGACTGCTGGTACTCCAATTTCATGACTACAAAATCCATGTAATTCTGCAATTCGGTGTGTATATAATGTACATGTAGATGCTTAATCCATTCAGTTCTGAAGGCAAATTATTGCCCTTATTCCTATAATAATTTTATTTCTTATATCAAAATATCTTTCGCTCTTCCTCGATTTGAAAACAGATCATGAATATAAAAGAAAATAACCAGAACAACAAGAAATAGGAGGAACATTATCAAAAACGTGTCCCATGAAATAAATATATATAATTTATCATCATTTGTAAACATGGTAGCACAGTAAATATTAAATGTATAAATTTGATACATACCTCTTTTTCAATTTTATCTTGATGTGCCAATATTGCCTCATCCCTTGCCATGCCTAAAGGAAAAATGAAATGTGTATATTACAAACTTACTTGATGATGACTTTCTTTATCTTCAAATTCACAAATGAGAGAAAAGAAATGACACATACTAACTACAATAGGATTCATTCAGGAAAAAATTTCAAAGGTTTCAAATCCTTTGTCTAGATATTTAAAAATGATAAGGCCAAATATACAAAAATAGCGTGTTTCTCATCCAGACTTTTAAAGAAAAGAAAAGGAGGAGGCAGGAATTTAATATTTTTGCAATGTTTTTTCCAAGATGGCTGCCATGCTAATTATAGCTGGCCATGCAGGCGCGTGTGTTAGGTTAGCAACTGCAATCTAAGCAATTCATCATGATGGTTGCTCACTTAACACACGCGCGAGCCCGCGCCGCCCGTACCCCATCGTCAGTATGGTATGAGATTGTATTGTGCAGTAGTTTGCCGTGAATCCCGTGTATATAATAAGTCTTTGTTTTTAGAAAAAAAGAAAATTGACACGAAACAGGTAAGAAACATAACAACTTTTAAATCATGACCATTATTTGAACAATTGATGAAGGTTTAGTCTTCTTCTTCTTCTTCCATTTTGAGTACATACCTCTTTACAGAGTATTATCGTACTATACTGCGGTGTGTGCTGGTGGGCCACTACACCGGCGTTCCCGGCCCAAACCCCCTACTCTAATACAAATAGTGCAGTGGGTTCTTAACATGCAAAGGTAGTGACTCTTCTCTACACGGGCCTCCATTTAACATCCTATCCGAGGGATGAAGTGTTTTCCACTTAACATAGCCTGCGTCTATGAACAAGGGGGGGGGGGCATGTTCGCACACGACACAGGCTTCAGTCATCCGCCTAGGTGGGATATGAACCCGAGATCTTTGGTTCGACAGGCAGACCCCCCGCCCCCCCCCCCCCCCCCCACTCAGTGTTATTTAGGGTATGCATATGCTTGTTCCCTCTTTTTGAAAGCACCCCCTATCTGAGGACTGCCAACATTTTCGAACCCCCCTTTTCGCAGGCTTTTCCTGCCTTGGAGACCCCCCTCAATCAGGAAAAATGCTCTTTGTACCCCCCTAAATTCGGAATAATTTCTCAGGAGTCCAAAGAGATGAGAGAAAAAAGAAAAAAAAAAAACCTTTTTAAAGAAATCTCCGGGTGAAAAGTCAAATACACGCTTTTTTTACAATTCTCGGGCCGGTCTTTGTCGCACGAAAAGTACCCCTTTACCGGACATTTTGGCAACACGCATGCGGTCATTCCGACCTCTGAGTGGGGGGGGCCGGGGCAGACCCTTTAGTTTTACCGACTGAGCCAACTGTCCTCTCTCGATTTTCGATATGTTTTAGTAGGTCTAGTAGGGACTAGGGTATCTCCACGTCGGAATTCCGGGTCAAAGACTGGATAGACATCTGAACTAGCGCCCTGTCTTATTCTCTGTAATTTCGACATCAGCAGAAACGAATGGCAGGATCGTTCAATTCCTGGCTTGCGCTTGATGGTTTGCCGAATAGGCCTACAGTGCGGTGGTAACACGAAACACACACACAGGTCACAGTCAATACGACACACAAGAAACAAAATTGAGCCGAGGCCGAGCTGCTACTGCTAGCCGAGTCAGTACAATTGTTTAACTTAGATCTATATTTGCACCTTATATCGTTCATCAAATTTCATTTCATAAGCTTAGCAGTAATTTATGGATAATTCGCTTTAAATACCTGTGAGTTGTTCTATTTCTTGATCCATAGATACCGGTTTCACGTCTTTATTCGCCATTTCTCTTGACTGAATTTTTGTCAACAAATTATTATGGTACCTTGTTAAGGCAAATCGTATAAGAAAAAAAGAATTAAAAAAAAAAAAACGTAGAGGTCTACATATTCATTATTTCTACATCTTAGAACGAATAAATTGGACAGTATACGATGTCTTGTTGTAACAGTTGGAGGCGCTATATCAGCATCAGCGATTTACTTAAGAAAAGGGAGTCTTGGTGATCTTCCGGTAGCTTCTTTGTTTGTGATTAACAGACGAAACAACTTTGGGGGACGGTCGGGGGACGTACGGTACACAAATCTCAAAGGGCACACCTTGAAGAGCAATTTTGAGGGAAATGACCTGACTTCACGCGATAATGAATAATTTTAGAAATCAACGAAAATGAAGCTAAAAGACCGAGAAATAAATTTATTTCATAAAAGACTTTCTTACTTCCTTCCATATTCATACATACACACGCCCGGTACATACAACCCAACATACCAGGGGCGAATCTCCGAAAAACAATTTGTTTATCGAGAAATTGTCCAATATTCTTGATACATTAAAGAAGGATGACGAAATAATTCTTTTAGGAGACATGAATATTTGTCTTCTTCGCAAATCGCCACTGGCTAAAAAATATATTGACTTGTTGAGTCTTCATGGGTTTAGTCAACTCATTAAAGAGGCAACACGCGTTACACCTACATGTTCTTCTCTATTGGATCATGTTGGTTGTACCAAAGAAAGAAAATAAGTCAAAGTGGTGTCATTGATCTAGGTATTAGCGACCATTATTTTACTTTCTGTACACGGAAAAATGTTAGACTGGCTATAGGTCATCACAGGACTAATGATATCAGATCCATGAAAAAATATACAGAAGAGTCTTTCAATCTTCAACTATCTGTTGTTGATTGGTCACGAATAACTGACTGTACAGATGTAAATGAGGCATGGTCAATATTTCAACATGTTTTTATCTCAAATTTGAATATGATAGCGCCACTGAAACGGATAAGAATAAAACAAAGATCAGAAACTTGGGTGACTAAAGATATTCTTTCCCTAATTCAAGAGAGAAATATAGTATACAAAAAATGGAGGAAAAGAGCAAAAGATGAGAAGCTCTATAAAAGATACAGAGTATTAAGAAATATGGTCCAAAGAGAGGTGAAAAAGGCTAAACTCGTTTACTTACAAAACAAGATAGAAGAAAATAAACAAGATTCGAAAAAACTTTGGCAGAATCTAAAAAGCTTAGGATTGAAAAATAAGAAGCGAAAAGAACAAGAATCTGTCATTAAAATTGATGGGAATTATGTCATAATAAGATGGCCATCGCTGATGAATTCAATTCTCATTTCACAAAATATGTGGCTGCCAAATTAGTAGACAAACTCCCCCCTTCCAAAGACTTTTTCAGCGCAGACAATGATTGTATTCGTGACTTTTACGAAAGAAAAGGTGTACGTGAAAACAGCTTCGAGTTATTACCAATCAGTGAACAATTTGTTTTCAAAGAGTTACGTAAGTTGAATGTATCAAAAAGTACTGGGTTAGACTTGATTCCAGCTAAATTTCTAAAAGATGGTGCGAAGGTTTTATTTAAGCCTCTAAGTTACTTAATGAACCTATCTATCTTGACGAGTACTTTTCCAGAGGATATGAAAATAGCAAAAGTGACTCCACTTTATAAAAAGAAAGATAAAACTGATGTTAGCAACTATAGACCTATTAGTGTTTTAAGCGTAGCATCAAAGATTCTAGAAAAATCGGTCTGTGTTCAAATTGAAAGATACTTCAAAGAAAATGATATAATTTATGAATTTCAATCTGGTTTTCGACATGATTATTCGACTGAAACATGTCTAATTCATTTGACTGATTATTTGAGGAGAGAAACTTCACAAGGGCGCTTTGTTGGTATGGTGCTCCTTGATCTGCAAAAAGCTTTTGATACAGTTAATCATTGCGTCTTATTGAAGAAGTTACAACTAATGGTTTTGATAAGGCAAGTTTAGATTGGTTTAGATCCTACTTATCTAATCGGCACCAAGTAGTGGCCATTCATGATATTCGTTCCAAACTAATGCCTATAACTTGCGGTGTTCCTCAGGGAAGCATTTTAGGCCCAGTTCTATTTTCAAGTTATATAAATGATATGTGTATTTGTATAAAAGACTTCAAACTATTATTGTACGCAGATGACAGCGTACTACTCTATTCAAATCCTGATCCTAAATATATTGAGGAAAAGCTCAGTGAACAACTGTCTACGTGTGTCGATTGGATGACTGATAATAAGCTTTCTTTACACTTGGGAAAAACAGAAAGCATTTTATTTTGTTCTAAAAGTAGTTCTAAAAAGTCATTTGAATTCAAAGTGACACACAATAATCAAGCAATCAAGAGAAAAGAGTCTGTGAAGTATTTAGGCATTGAGTTGGCTAGCGCAATTTCATTTTCATCTTTAGTAGAATCAGTTGTAAAAAAGCAAATTCTCGTCTGAAATTTTTGTACAGATATCAAAGTTGTATGGATTTAAAAGCAAGACGTACACTCTGTTTTGCTCTTATTCAATGTTTATTTGACTATGCTAACCCTGCATGGTATAGTAACATAAACAAGTCAGATCAAAAGAAGTTGAAGATTATACAGAACAAAATGGTGAGATTTATCAACTGTTCTGGTCCAAGAACTCATGTTGGCTACAGCGAACTTTCTAAAGCTGGTTTTCTTGAAGTCGACCAAAGATCAAAACAACTCGTATTGCATCATGTGCATAAAATATATCATACTAGGTCGAATCATTATATTCGATCCAACTTCGATCTTGTTACTGACGTACATGATTATAATACAAGAAATAGACGATTCAACTTTAACTTACCTGAAAGAGTAGGTAGTATTGGAAATTCGTTTTATTACAATGCCATAAAACATTGGAATTCCCTTCCCAATGGTGTAAAAGAAATAGGAAACTATGATCATTTTAAGAGGAAATTAAAGGAATACCTAATACTTGACAGTCAGAGAAGAGAAGTGAATGACATGTTATATGATTGAATTTTTTTTTCTTCTGTCGGTTCATACTTTTTCATGTTGTATATACTTATGTTTTCGTACGTTATAGAAATTCTACAAATTCATCATTATTTTCCTCTTCTTCCTTCTCCTCTTTTTCTTCTTCTCCTTCTTCTTTTTCTTCTTGTACTTAATATCATTTCTATCATCAGTTTAATGTTGTTATTATTATTATCTTTAATAAGTAGTTCTTTTAATTTTCTTATCTGTCTGTAAATATTACTATTTTAACTTATTAATTTTATACATGTCTGTAAGGGACCCCACTGGAAATAAGCTCTCGAGCTTTCGTGGGTTATCCTGTTCAAGCTGACTTTTTTTGATCTGTTATTATTGTATATTGTTAATAATAATAATAATAATAATAGCCTAATAGTCCACTCCAAATTTTATTAAACCGAAACGGAAATTCTTTTTGCCCAATTGATCGTGAGCCCGGCAGCCACTGAGCAGCGCCAGATCGACGTTGCTCTATCCCTTTTTGTTGAACGCCAAACAAGGTAGCAACAACTCCCATCTTTTAACGTCTTTTGGTATGACGCGGCCGGGGTTCGAACCCACGACCTCCCGGTTGTTAGGCGGACGCTCTACTGACTGAGCCAACACTCCGTAGATCCGCCCCTGCATACACACTTAGGCCTACATACATACATGGACTTAGACTGGGGGCGGGGCAGTCAAAGCATCCTGCCCCCATGGCTAGCGTGGGGGTCAGGGCAAACGTGTCAGTGCAGACGCGATGAACCCGGGGGTTTGGATGGGTAGGGGGCGAATTTTTCAATTACCCCTAAAGTGCCTCTATTTATAAAAGAAAAGTGGCCCTTTTACTTCTGATAAGTTCCACATTCTTTTAAGTGCCCCTTACCACCTCTGATAAGTGCCCCCTTCACCGATGATAGTTGCCAATATTCTAATCTGAGACGATGCACTTTTACTTTAACAAGTGTCCTTTGCCTTTGTAATAAGAGCTCCTTCTCACACGTGCCCCTGTTTATGTTGTTAATAAAAGCCCCTTTCCCTTTAATAAATGCCCGTTCTCACATCTCTGATGAATTCGTCTATTAAAATCTGATACGTGCCCCTTCCCTACGAAAAGTGCCCATTTCCATTTGTAATAAATGCCCCTATTCATCTGAGGTGAGTGCTCCTTTTCAGGTACAAGAAGTGCCCCTTACCGCATCTTATAATTGCCTCTTTTCGAATCTGAGAGGTGCCCTTTATATTTTGTCACGTGCCCTCTTTCCTTTCTAATAAGCGCGAATTTTACTTCTGATAATTTCCCCTTTCCTTGGTAATAAGTGCCCGTCTTCCATTCTCATAAGTGCCTTCTTTTCATCTCTGATGAGTGCCTCTTATCAGGTGCGAGAAGTAGCCTATTTACACCTTAGATAATTCCCCTTTTTACTTTGAAACGTGCTCCCTTTCTTTTCTAATAAGTGTCCATTTCCCTTCAGATAAATGCCACCTTTTCCTTTCATCATAAAAAATTTTGTACTCAAAATTTAAACCGACCAATAGCAAATTTACCCTTGGAATTAACCCAAAGCTCGCTCTATACGCTTGCTTGCATTTTTTAAATTTGATTTCTTTTCTTATATTCCAAATCCAAATGGATTTAAGCTGAGGGAGTCAATGCTGGTTATTTTCCAATTTATTTGATATTTTTCAGGCATACGCAGATGCTTTTGATTTGATGTCGTATCATAATATAAATGGCTTTGTTCATTCCACATTTCTGAAGAAATACATTATATCAAATTTCCATTTTTTCTTCAAAGTTTGACTAGATAATTACCATGATTTGTGCCACTCTATGACAATGTATAATTTAGATTGCAAAAAATTCTTCACATAACTTTTTTTTTTTCTTTAGAAAATGGTGGGTGCAATTTCCACTTGCCCCTTCAAATACGCGAGTATAGTATAGCGGGAGTTATAAGATTATTCCTCTTTAAATCTTGGATGGTATATAGCAGAGTATCAGATACCACAGTCTT